CCGAAAACTTAGCGCCATGCCGCAACCATGCGATCGGGCGCGGCCGGCCGGCGGGAGTATCGGTGAGCTTTCACGATGTAAACAAAGACAGTCGGAGTTGTTTACATGAAAATTTTGTTGTGAAACGCCAGCGGGGTGTCAGATTTTCTACCGATGACAACGTTTTCTTTGTGGCGTCATGGCGAGATCGACAATTCATCGTCACAGGATTGTGCCGACAATGGAATTGAATAGCGGCCCGATCCGTGCAATTAGCGCTCGATCCACGCCGCCCAACCGAAGAAAATTGGAATGACGAGCACATTTATCGGGAATAAAATCCCAAATTTTGAAAACCGACCGCTAGCCGCTCGAAATTTTTGGTCGGCCCAAAAAAGGCTAGGGTCGGGGGGTTTTCCATAGGGTCGGTCGGGTAACCGGAAACACAACATTTTTTTTCCTAGGCCTAATTAAACAAAATGTTGTCGATGTAAAATGGACCAACATCCGCCTTCGAATCTGATTGTACATTTCCTGTATTTCGTACCTGGACGTAAGAACTATTAGATGCCATGCTTAGAGCATACTTACCTCCGTATAGACGTTTTGTGTCGGATATACTAGAGCATGACCAATAACAAGTAAAGGGTCTCGCTCGATATTTTGACCACAGGGCCATTATGTGCGTATAGGTCCTTGGGGATAAGTCCGTTACGAGAAGACAGAGAAAATAGATACTTTGCAGTTGTCGTTCCACGCCTTCTATTAGGTGCCATAAACCAGGGAAAACTGTTCTGATTAGGTAGTAGACGTTTGGGGCTTTGATTGTCCTCATGTGGTTATCATTGAACTTCTGTCTTTTCCCATCTGTGCAAATTGCAAAATAAATACTCTGATAGTTATTTCAATTAAATTGTTCGTCTAGTTTATATATTACAAATCTTATAATCAAACGCATGTAACAGATGGAACTAAATGCAACCTAATTGGGAAAAGTTGGAAAACATGCAAATTCCTAGAAATATTATAGTAGATAGAAGGCAATTGCAGAAATATACAGAACAAGTAATGGGGCATTTTGTACTGACCCTGTTCATAAACCAAGAAGCAAAGCGAGCGAAAACAGTCTCCTTCAGACAATCCAGCACTCCGGTGACTAGAACGGGAATTCGAAGTATGTTTCACTTTGACTCAGAAAGGGGTCAAGCAGATTATTACTACTGGTGTGACAGGCTGAATAAAAGTTCTAAACGGAAACTGTCCGGCTCCAGATGTCTTACTGAGGGACGACTGCGTGTGCGAGATGTCGGTTAGCTTGAGGAATGAATCCTCTCTACTACATATAGATTTTTCCGCTACAGTCACCAACACACAAAAACTTTCAGCAGCTGTTAAAAAGAACGATTGAAAACGCCAGGATAGTAAACATTACACATGATTTCCTGGATATTTCAATGATCTACACACGTTAGAACGGAGAAAGTCCATTCTGCCCATCTCATCAGCAGGCTGACATATTTCCGTTGAGGTTTACTAAGAATAAATTAGTCCCAACTCTTTTCCTACAGTACGAATGAGATGAGGACAAACCCACAGACCAGGGTAATTGAGGGAAGACCGTGTGATTGATGCCGGTCCGGCGGCGCCGCTGTCCCGGGTGTCTGCAGAATCACACGGCTGGTGAAGCCCGCAGCTGCGGCCCGCTAGCAGGGGACAGGACACTAATTCCAGCCCCCATTGGAATATGTGTTAAACATACAAGAACTGAGCTGTCAAAAATCACCTACCTGAGTGTTCAACTATTGCAAACTCATAATTGACAAGGTAGTCCAACTTCCAAATTGTCCATTTAGTCCACAAATTTTGACCAGCGAAAATAAGTACGATACATGGCAACAATGAGATCATGACCTCTGACTACCACCCTGCACACCACCAAAAATATTAAACAACGGCATTGCTTTTAGAGCTCTACCAGGCAGCCAAAACAAGTCTATGAGCCAGTTTTATCAACAAAATAGAAAACGAAATAACTCTCGAGCTGGAAAATACCAGCATTTATACACATATACCAAATAGTGACATTTGCCCAGCACTGGGACAGACTACTGCTATCTTACCAAAAAATGCCTATCGACCAGAGGGTTTGTCCATTTTGTCCAGATCTAATTAAGGACGAATATCACTTTTTAACTTTTATGTCCTGAATATATTGATATACATAATTCACTACACATTAGACTATCAGATTATATTCCAGCATTTACTACAAGAACTTTATAAGCAAAGTTAAATACATAATGACTTGTGACAAACCCTGCCTG